CAGGTGGGGAAAACAAATTATTGGGTCATATACAGACATGACCTGGATTTAGATTGGATGTTTATTTAGGCCTAAATTCAAACCAGGCGGCCACAGCCCTTTATTTGCTTCATTTGCCAGTTCTAGGTATGCATGACCTAACGAAGTGTTAGAAGTACATATTCCCTTGTCGTCGACTACCTGCGACACTGCGATCCGTTTGCCACATTTACTAGGGTAGTTTTGAATGGTATGCTGAGTTAGCGTCATTTTTCGATTTACCGCCCACCCAGTAGTCAGTGTCGTCATTGATTTGTTTGTCAAGCTCAAAGGAGGAGTCTGATAGCTCTTTCGACTGCTGCATTGGATTATTTTGCTGACAGAACGCTCGCTAATGCTGGAATCATCGCAGAATGCCTTGACATTTTCACAGAACTCCTGGATAATCTCAGCATCTTCTGTTCGTAGAATGGCCGTGGGCGCAGTGTTCTGGAACGCACCACGCGTGACTGCATCGAACAGCTGGTACCAGATTCGCCGGTGCTCCAACCTAACGTATGCAGTTTTGTGGATCGTGGGTCCACTTGGTGGAGGAAAGTCTTGTACGGCACTTGCTTCCGCGTATTCACTTGATCCATTGAGCTGGAATGTGATTTGGCTTCATCTCTCTCGCACAAAATCGATGGCCGATTGCACGTGGTTGTGTTGAAGCGAGAAAACAACGTGTCATATTAGGAAGAAAATGCTGGAGCCACAGCTAATAATGCTTCTGTTCTCGACACCACCCGGTAAGCAGACCATCGTGTTTCTTAATGGATATCAAGTCATGCAAAGAAGCAGAAATCACGATCGATGTTTGTAAGGAGTGGTGACTACATGACGAGCGCAACCACTGATGGGTGTGGCTATCGGCCTGAATTGTATGAGACTATTCCTAGTCATCTTGATCCCATCGGAAAGGCTGACGAGACAATGATGAAATAGAACAAGGAAGACCTGCCGGAAGTGGATGAAGAGGTTAAGTTCGAGCTTGAGTCTTGGGCTAGTGGAGTCTAGAGAGAAGCGGTGCAGTTCGATTTCTTCTGACACAGCGTCAAGGGTGTGTTTCCATTGTGATTCAAAAGTTTAAGTTGCTGGAAACGAAGTGTCGTGTGGCTGATGGAATAGCGAGACTGAGTTTGGCATCTCAACCGAGTAGGCTATGACGTCGTTGAACGCTGCAATCAGACCTGCCCGGTGACGAGTCGGCTTCTTAAGGCTTTGTTGATGCTTCGTTCCCTGGAGCACTCTATCATTTGCTCGTTCTATATCATAGAGGTGGTGACAGTGATCCCGAATTCCGCTTGGTTAGTGGGTATGCTGCGGGGAGAATCAACGCAGTTCTGAGCCCTGGTCTTCGGTGGGGTGTGAATTTACTGTGATCAGACAAGCATCCACTTTTATTGCACCTCTAAGGCAAAGGAATGTGTTGCCGTCTACTAGCACACCACCGGTTTCGAACGTGCCTTTCGAGCTGCGTTTTCGACAATTTTAAAAATGAAATATCATTAAAATTGTAAAAAAAAATAACAAATGTAAAATTTAAAGTTGGAACCACAATCGACATTTGGCGACTCCTCGAAGATGCCGACGGCAGAAACACCTCCCTCCACCGCCGCTGCATCCACACCGACACGTCGGCGGCGCCGGACCCGACCGACTCTCAGTCCCGAGGCCACTTCGATTTCCGTATCCATCGAAGATCCAAACGACGGCGACAAGGACGAGAACAGTGACGAAGATAAAGGCATCGAGAATCTACCACCCATTTCAACTGTCGTGCTGACTCCACTTCCAGAAGATCAACAACCACCCAAACGCGACATCGCTCCGTCTCCTCCCGCACTCGTGCGAGCCGTCGGATTCCCAGTCGCAAATGCTCGCAGAACTGGGCTGCAAGCTAAAGAGAGAGCGGTGAGTACTAAAGTTTGGTCATTTATTCATTAAATTACTTACGGTGTTTGTCTGTGTAGCCGCTACGAATCAGTGGTTCGGTTCCGTCCCTACTGTTGGCACGTCGACCAAGTGGGAGACGATGGCGGGCTCATGCTCCTGACTACGACGAAGACGTGGCACGGGTTCATTTATTTAAACCTCCACTACCTCCCACCCACACGGATAAACGACGTGTGGCAGTATACTATACGTGTGAGCGGATCGCGCTGTTTACGTTGCAAAAGTGGATGGAAAAGAGTGCAAAAGAAAGTCGTCGAGCTGAAGTTACAGAATCAAAGAAGGCAGCGACATCTGCTGGACTTGGACTTGGCAATTGGAAGAATAAAATGTATCTGGAAGTGTTGCATTCGAGCTTGACGCCAGAACAGCCCTTTGAGGCTACAGGTGATGGAGACTTGTTTACAGCGCTACGAACAGCAGCTCTACGAGAGAAACACGCGTTTTACTTTGAGTAAGTTTTTATCGAGTATTTCGTTTGAGATTATTCCGTATTCAATTATTTTTGTTATTATTTGTAGGACGGGCTGCTGTGTGTTCTGGGGTCTTACAAGAGAGGAAGAAGCCCAGCACCTGATGATGCTGCTACCGTTTTCTTCCGGTATGATGGATCAAGTCGATGCGCAAGATATGGAGTTTAGCTACGGTGACCGATCAAGTATCGCGAAGGATTCCATCGTATTGTGCTCACAGACTGTGGCCGAGAAGATCGCTCTTTCTTTTGCTATGTCCCAGTCAGCAACGCTGGGTGCGTTTGAGACTAGAGTAGAAGACCGTATCCGCTCCACGAAGCATATCCCATCCAGTCTTGCGTCGGTAGGGTCGATCCAGTATTCTCAGAACGACACGTCGAAGCTCATCGGGCAGCTCTTCATCGAGCTAGCAGATGTCAACATCCATTCGAATGTTCTAGACGAACCCGAGTACTTTGTCAAGTCGCAGGATAATGATGATTTCAAGTATTTATACGAGAAAATGCTCAAGTATCAGGATGTAGCCAGCCGTGTGGCTATCCTGAACAAGCGTCTCAGCATCCTGCGCGACTTGTACGCTCGGCAATCTTTTTTTTTCTGCCTTGTCTGGTCTAACGTTTTCACCTTTTTTTTCAGAGTGGGTGTGCTGAACCAGCAATTAACACATCACCAAGGAGCGAAACTCGAGTGGATCATTATCTGGATGCTTGTGTTCCAAGTTATAATCGCCATTGGATGGGAAATCATCCTCAAGGACATTTTAGGATACTTCCATTGGGGATAAAAAGAGCGGAAGCTATGCGAGTTGAGAAATACCTGGATTAAAGAGTTAAACTTAAAGGCTCTAAATAATTATCCTGAGTTTTTATTATTAGGGCAGCATACAGTTTTGTGTAACTTGCATCGCTCGGTTATCTCGAAATGACAAGGTTGACAGGGCTATGCTGATGAAGGTTGTCGTTGCTGATCATCAGATAATGCGCGATATATACTGGATTCTTGGGTATCATCAGCTCTGCCAGCGACAATCGCTGCGTCTGTAACTTCGTTCTGTGAGGGCTTTGCACAATACTTAATGTTGTACTAGTACAGTTTTCTGCATGATTTGCTCTGTAAAAGCGGTATCACAAGTCCGGGGCGTTATTAATGACATTAGTAATACCAGTATCCCCTCCTAAGGGTTTCAAATGCAAGGGGGGTCAATTACAATTTTACGGCACTGCAAACATGTACTAAAGACAAGTTATATTGTAATGACTTGCCCGGAAGTGGCGTCTATCTATACGCAAAGTCGGTTCGACGACGTCGTCGAAATCGACTTCACATGTCAAGGACGGTCCGCGTTGGAGGCTGTTGTGCCGCCATCGATCCGCTGCAGCTTCCGGATTTGCTATCTGGGTGCTGACGTGGAGCTGGTTCTGGGTCGTCATGAACTCTACGGCCCAGAGTTTTGCCGCCTTCTCAATAACGAAGACCCCCCCCCCCCCCAGGAGATCGTGTATGAGGCGTCCTAGTTTCTCCTTGCTAACGAAAGCAGCGACATTGGTGCTTTTCGAGCGATAAATCTAGAAATGCAGTCCTCTATAACCTAATCCAGTACTGGGCTAGGGGCTAGTAATAGAAGTGGGCTTCTAGAAGGTGGTAATTTCCCAAGCGGGGGTTCTAATTCAAGGGGAGTTATTGCAGAGAGGAGCTTGTAATTCAGGCTTTACAGTGTTTTTGCGATCGATAAGATTTTAATTTAGATGAATATTAATTAGTCCATTTTTGTTTGCCGATTCCCCTAATCGTATTTACAACTAAGCGCATCACACGATGAGAATATTTTAAAATTCCACTTCGCGTATATTTGGTGGATTTCACCTGTTCAACAATACGAAGTAGTACAGATGTGTTAATGACTATGTACACGAAGTTTATAATAGGAAGAATGGCGTTACTGCACCCTTAAATACGACACTACAACACGAAAAACAGCAACCTTACATATTAAAGCGACCCCAATGCAACTTAATAATTAACGCAACCTAAAAATCACTGACCATAAACACCTAACCTTGTCCGAGGACGGGTGTCATGAGCCTTTAAAGCGTCAAAAATGGAGTTGCTGGCAGGACAACTATCGCCAAAGCCTTACCGCTGCAAACACAGAGAATGGTGGCAGAGCCATAAAAGCGTATAAATGTGATCATGCTTGATTCAAGACTCAAAGTCAGGGTGCTCCAAATATATATCTTAAACCGCAGTATTGCTTTGGCGTTACCAAGATTTTAGGATTCACCCCCTCCCTCGGCTTAATGTTGCTGGAACCACTCCCTTATACACGGCTAGGAGATACAGTGAATGGTCGATACAACCTCGTTGTTCAACCGCACATTATATATTTCCCCCTAGGAAACGCAGAACTGCATCCAACGAAGAAAAGCAATGCGATTTCATCACATTCTTCTACTGACTTTAGCCGCTATCTTCGTCAGCAGCGATTTCACAAAGGCTCATTCAGTCCAAGACGAAGAGAACCTCGTTTCTGCAAAGCTGCTCCAAGCTGTTGTGGGCTCAGCGCCATCTGAAACCACTAAGCGGTTGCTTCGCTCGCGCGACACTGCCGATACCAACAATGAGCTCAGAGCCTTCACTTGGGCCACCAACATCGGTAATAATTGGAAGAAGAGGGCCGAGAAAAAGAAACTCGAGAGCAAAGGAACTCTACCTGAGCGGGGCGTCGTATCAAAAGTTTCTCAAGGAAAAGATAACTCCAACGCAACTCTACCAGGCAATGAATTTGCAGAAAGATATGCGACTTGCACTTCGATATTATGGGAACTGGAACAGACTGCTTACCAACTCGAACTACAAAATTTGGCGTACGTATGAGCGAATGTGGATGGCAAGCCAGAAAAAGTAACCGGTTGCACTGGGTGTGCCCCATAGAGATATGCAACAACCCACAACGGATTAATTCCATGTGCTGCGTACATCGTACCGAATAAAATAGATTGGGTCGCTCTGTTAGCTGAAACAATTCTGTTTTTATCCATTGTCTCGACGCAAAGAGTTTAAAGAAATGTGGATGCCTTCCGACTTCCGTGAAGAATAATCTGGCCGCTGACAAGCGGTGCAACAGTTGCGAATATTAGGACTATTGAGGCATTGCGTTTTGCAGGCACAGCATTCTGTGGACCAACTTGAAGTAGTCGACATGACATGTGCTCTTTTCCCTTCAAAGGTCCATCCACCTCCATGCCCGACCTCTTTAAATGCTTGCGAGCAGGAGACGCAGATCAAAATTAAAATTGCAGAATGCATGCAAAATTTCTTTCCAGAGGTATAAGCGATATCTCGGTTGGGTCCACGCGTTTTTAGCATCGTTCATGCAAAATTATCGTAGAAAAATCCCAACTTATATTCAATACTGTAGAAATTGCAAACTGAGGCCTGAGCGCAAAAAGACATACCGCGCTCCGAGGTGTACTAAGTAGACGATCTACACCTTTCCAACTTCAAAAAGGTGATTGGTAATTCAATATTGTCAAAATATACTTCCTGTTAAGTAAGTTCTAAATGCCGCTAAAACAATGATGAGGTGGAAGACCGAGGAGATCGCGCTACCAACTGCGGACAGCGTTTAGATGCATAGTTACCCAGCAGGAAAGCCGTACATCATTAAATTACATGCCACATTTACTCCACGGTTGCCAGCATCTTGAAGAAAAACAATATAATATCGCCACTGAATAATACTTCAAGTAATATTATCATTTTCTTACTAACCCAATTTACTCGAACTAGATGGTGAAGAGGTCGATTGACAAGTATGAGGACGTTTCGGAGCCTTTTTAAGACCGTTAAGGCCGAATGATATTTTGTTTGACACACGATAATCCATGAAAATGCGCTAAAAAAACAACATTCATGCCCAGGGGGATTGGTGAATATCTGTAGCGACAGCATGACATTCAGCAGACGTCTCACACTTAACGGCCGCGATGGCACGGAGATAGCGAATGGGTAGGAAACATCCTAAGATATAGTCGAATGTATTCGACCACTACAACTGCATATTTTAACCAAGATATAGTTTAGCGAAATTACCAGAAACCACTGCGGAGAAGGCCGCAGTGGTAACAGGCAATACAGAATTCGATTTCATTTCAAGCACAAGGGCTCTAAAGCAAGCAGGATTTCAAGACATTATAAAGTTAACTTTAGCTGTGGACTAAAACGATCCAAGCACATGGCCCTTGAGTCGGCCTCAGCAAAAGCGCAGTTGCACGAACATCGCTGGAGAAGACGGAGATGTGACTGCACAAGCAACCGAAACTGTAAATGCCCGTGGGGCCTCCCGAGATTGCGTGCTTGTCTGGGTCGCTGAATCAGTAGGAAAGAATGCACCGGTAATTTATTTTTGAAATAACCATACTCATAGGTTGGAAACATACATTTATGCTGAATGGGGGATAAAAATTAAAACGTTAGGATATAAAGTGTTCATCGTCACGAGGTAAAGCAACTTCATTTTTAGATTTTTTTTTTTCTCCTAGCAATAGTTTCCTCTCTTTAGTGTTCAACTTCAGGGTAGATGCCGTTTCTCAAGCCACTCCACGAGTAGGTAGGCGTTTTCCTAGTTATCATCCCTGAAGGCAAACTCTGAAGTGAAAGCTAGGGTGCAGTTTACATTCAGAAACAAAACCATGCCAAACACATACCACTGCGTCGGGTTTCAGATCAACTGTGATAGGGGTGGCGTGTGGGAAACGCGCAAGAACCCAGCGTGGAAATTCCACTGGAATCCTCAAGTGGCCAGCCTTTTCCACCACTTCAACGGGGTTTCCCTCCGATCGATTCATCAGTAACCACTTCACTTCAAAATGACCCACTTCAGCAGCCCAGATCGGCGCATCTTTCGAACATCCCTCGGTCCGATTGCTATGAAGCCACTGGATTGTGTCCAAGTGGCCATTGGCTGCAGCACAGTCCATCGCTTGAGTGGTACACCCGTCTCCACGATTTTCATGTAACCATTTCACTACTTGGAGGTGTCCGTTGGCTGCTGCTTCGTCCATTGGGTCAGTCGATCTCTATACTGAGCGCGCCATCTCTTCTTCTGCTACAATCTTTTAAGTGATCACGCGAAGTTGTCACGTACACTCTATTAATACAAGTCCTACAATGGTCTTTAGGGTGATGTGGGAAGTAACCGGGAACTTGTGATGGTATAAAACTAATGCCGTGCTGTGCCCG